GTAGTCCATAGATCACGCGTCCTACCTGTTGTAGTGTAGGACGACGTCCGTGAAGAGTTCTATTGCCATTCCCGGAGGAGACGAGGAGCAGTCCCTACTGTGTGTGTACGGAGATCCGATTGAGTTCAGCGAGGTAGAAATGAGGAAAGTCATATTCTGTGAATCTGTAGGAGAGCGTGAGAGTTAGCGAGGAGGAGAGGAAGTCCTAAACCTGTGTGTGTAGGAACGTGGAGAGTTAGGAGTAGAGAGGAGATTTAAACTGTGTGTGTTAGGCAGACGTGAGAGTTAGCGAGGAGAGAGGAAAGTCAAACTGTGGTGTGTAGTTGAGACTGAGAGTTGAGCTGAGGAGAGAGAGAGCATACCTGTGTTGTGTAGGAGACGTGAGAGTCAGCGAGGAGAGAGGGAGTTCCTACCTCCCGTGTCGTGTGTACGAGACGTGAGATTACGCTGATGGAGAGACGAGTACTCATCCTTTTGGTGTTGCCCTAGTAGACGTGGTGAGAGGTTAGCCGTGAGGAAGAGATGGAGAGTACCATACCTGTGTGTAGTGGATGACGTGAACGAGTTATGCGAGGAGAGAAGGAGAGTTTACATGAGTCTGACGTGTGTAGTGAGACGTGAGAGTTGAGCGCAGACAGAGAGGAGAGTCATACCTGTGTGTGTATGGATGACTGAGAGTTAGTGTTAGGAAGACGAGGAGAATATACCTGATGTGTGTAGGAGACGTAGAGTTAGCTATGCGAGAGAAGGAAACAGTAGGTAATAGTGGTGACAAACAGCAGGTAATAGTGGAGACAAACAGTAGATAATAGTGGTGACAAACAGTAGATAATAGTGGTGACAAACAGCAGGTAATAGTGGTGACAAACAGTAGATAATAGTGGTGACAAACAGCAGGTAATAGTGGTGACAAACAGTAGGTAATTGTGATGACAAACAGTAGGTAATATTAATTAGAAACAGCAGGTAATAGAGATGAGAAACAGTAGATAATAGTGGTGACAAACAGTAGGTAATAGTGGTGACAAACAGCAGGTAATAGTGATGACAACAGTAGATAGTAGTGGTGACAAACAGTAGGTAATAGTGGTGACAAACAGTAGGTAATAGTGGTGACAACGGTAGATAATAGTGGTGACAAACAGTAGGTGATAGTGGTGACAAACAGTAGGTAATTGTGATGACAAACAGTAGGTAATATTAATTAGAAACAGCAGGTAATAGAGATGAGAAACAGCAGGTAATAGTGGTGACAAACAGTAGGTAATTGTGATGACAAACAGTAGGTAATATTAATTAGAAACAGCAGGTAATAGAGATGAGA